ATTCTGATATTTTCGAAAACTTTTCGACCGGTCTAACAGGTACTACATTTTCAACTTTTCGAAGAAATTTTTTTGAGGTCTGTAAAATATATATGTGATTCTCCTCTAGATTCTACATATAATACAAAAAAATCATCCAAATCGGTCGAGATTCGAGCGAGTTATGAATTTTTGAAAATCGAAAAAATACCATATTTTTGCCATTTTTCGTAAAAAATCGCGTTTTTTTCGATTTTCAAAAAATCATATCTCCGTTCCGGAAAAAGATATTTCTAAGCGGTTTTGTGGTAAATACTCACAAAAATATGCTTTATCAAATGGGTTTGTTAAATTTTTTCCGAAAAATTTTTCTGAGGATATGGGATTTGGTATATCCGGTAGATCCGGATTATCTCGGCCAATTTTCATTTTCATGGAAAATGCAGAAACATGTCAACTGAGATACAAATAGAGCTTTCGATTGCTATATAGAACGTATTTTGTTGCTAAGATTGCATAAAATTATGAACAAAAAACTAGTGTGCATAAACATATGCACCGCAGTGTATGCCTTCCACGTTCCGATTTCGAAACTCGACAACTTTTGCGTTTATACAAACAAAATAATAATCAAATTAATAATATTAATGATATGTACAAGCAACACAGTTTTATTGAAAAAGTGCATGAACCTAAAGAATGCAGATTTCTATTATAGAACTATAAATTAGCGATAGACTTTTGATAATTCTGAAATTTTGATAATCTGAACTTGACTAAAAAATAAAAAAGACCAAAGTAGAGCAAAAAGTTTTACCTATTTTAGACTTTTCGATCAAAACTCAAATAAGAATTTTACCTTTAGCCTTTAATCTTTTCCAAAAATAAAACAATTTTTTTGGTAATTCACGTGAAATTTTGCAATTTTATTTAATTCTTTAAATAAATACAAAATTAAATTTATTTATAATTTTTTGTTTGCAATTTTTTAATTTATTTATAGTATTTGAGGGATTAAACCAAATTTAGAATATTTAGAGTAAGAATAAATTTCACAGAAAGATAATTGACTGACAGAATAATAATTAAATAACGATTTTGTCTAGTAGAGAGTCTTGGAGTTTTGGTCTTGGTCTTGACAAAAATTTTGTCTTGGGTCTTGAATCTTGGAAAAATTTCGGTCTCGGACATTTCTAGTGTCTAGCATCCAATCTCGCCTTTAGTCGTCTCAACAATCCTTTTGCGTCGATGAAAGATTATGTTATAATGCGTGTGATCTATGGCGACGTCGTACAATTCGCATATTTATTCTTTGCTAATCTAATCATTGAACGTGTAAAGGTTGATTAAAGTTCTCCACATTCCCATTTATTTTTTCATCATTGATAACAAAATATAGCTACAAATAGACAAAAATTCCCTTAAAAATGGTCAAAATTTCCTAAAAAATTCTCCTAACATGCAAAAAATATTAAATTTGTTTATGTTCTCCGTCTAATATTGTGACTTTCATAGAATATAGAGGTATAATGAATTGGGTATGTGATCGGGCTAATTGGGTATGTGATCGGGCTACCTAAGCCTTAATGAGCTCTTCAGCAAATCCCAATATAGTAAAATCAAAATAGCAACATAAAAGGAACCATTAATTTGTAAAATTTTCACTAAAAATATTGCAAAAACTATCTAATAAGAACTCAATATTAAAAATAATTTAAGGAATGGATGGACTGATAATCCAACAAATTATCCTCTGGCTGATTAATGCTAGGATGCTCCATTCTTATCGTTTGGCTGTTCCGCCCGATATCTCTATTATTCTCAGGCGAATTAAGGTGTTGGAGGCATTTCTGCAAAAAGTCTATATAGCGAATTGTCCCATTTACTATATAAAATAATCCAAGCTTTAAAATAAAAAGCTAATTTTTTTAAAGGCTGAATAAACAATTAAAAATATTAAATGAATTTTTTGGGTAATTTCGCAATTTTTTATTAATAAAATTTGGCCAAATAAATACAGGCAGAATTTACCAATAAAATAAATCCATTGTCAATAAAAATAATTTAAATAAATAAATTTACAAAAAATGACTAAAATTAATTCAATTATTTTCTTAATTTATTTAATAATTAATTTTATGAATTATTATATAATGGCTGACAAACGAGCAACCAATCCAGGACATTCACCTGGAGTTGGAAATCGTTAAATCGGTGGAAATTGTAATTGAATTTAATTTTTTATTAACTTAATATGAATATACAGTGAATCTTGTCGATATAAAAAATAGTTTTTTGTTTCGGCAATAGGGAATTCTCAACCAAAAAAAAGTCGGAAACTTCGATATATGTATTCAGTTATTTTAAAAAGTGCAATATTTGTCGGAGATCCCTTGCTTTACAGAAAAATTTTGAGGTTACATTGTAGTTAGTCTAAGTCTATTCCTTGTCTTTCCTGGTCTGTTATACTTCAACGTAGAGTTAATCAAAACGATACTGGTATCGGCCAACCCGAGACCGAGATTGACCGATACTCAAGAACCCGATACCGAGACCGATACCATCATTTTGAGCCGAGACCGATACCGAGAAACGATACTGACCGACTAACAAAATTTTTTATTTTATGAAAAAGATACATTCATTATTTTCATCATACAAATCATCAGATAAATACTCTTCATCATCTGGATCCGATCTGGCTTGGCAATGGATACTAATTTTGTGTCCGTATCCGAATAGGTATATCCGTGAGGTCGACATCCGTATCCGATTATATCCTTACAACTTTTGAGGCATATCCATCCGCGGGTATCCGCGGATGGCCGAAGTGAAAATTTTGGTTACCAAACCATTATTTCAGCGCCTCAGGCAAAAATTTTTAGAATTTTAGAAGTGCAAATCAACAGATTTCTTCCCATTTACACCGCCGCAGGCGAAAATTTTTAGTTTTGGAAGGCCAAGAAGCCAGAATTCTTCTTATTTTCAGCGCCGCAGACAAAAATATGAGAATTTTGGAAGGCCATGAAGCCAGATTTCTTCCAATTTTTGCCCTCATATACGCAAACTCAATGCGCTCATCCCTGCTTCCGATCATTTTAAATCCCCTTAATCCACTGGTGGGAACAACAGTTGCGAAAATCGGAAGGCTCTGTAATCAAAATCTTGAAAATCTAACGGCCGAGGGCTTGGAAAATTCAACATTTCAGCGCCGCAGACGAAAATTTATTAAATTTTGGAAGGCCAGTTCACCAAATTTCTTCCTTTTTCAGCGCCGCAGGCGAAAATTTTTGAATTTTAGAAGACCTTATTCGAAAAAAATTCACTTTCTCTGTTATGGACGGATATCCGAAAAAAATTATGACGAAAACTTGGATAATATTGATAATTTTGGTTCTTTGAGTCAGTATCGTTTCTCGCCGAGAAATGGACCGAGAATATCGGTATCGGTTTCGAGACCGAGAATGAAAAAACCGAGACCGATATTGGAAAAAAGCCGAGACTCTCGGTATCGGTATCGGTCTCGTCTTGATCAACTCTACTTCAACGTCAATTTTTTTATTCTAGGTACTAACAGAGCAGGGGTGTGCCAGGGTCGCTTTTCGCATTTCCCTTTTCGCTTTTTAAAATCCGTTTCGGCACACCCTTGTAACAAAGGTCAAGTTCACTAGGCAGCGACCTCTTACACTCTTACGGAATCTTTTGTTAGTACATAGAATTTAACTAATTGAAATTGAAGTATACCCAACAAACCATCTAATTATTCCCTAAAAATTATCTATAATTTTAAGCAAAAAATAAAAAATGTGGCAGAATATGGGGATTTGGAATTTTGGTAAAATATCTTCAACTTTTCTTTAAAAACAAAACAAAATTGGGATTTTCTTCTTTAAATCATGGAAATTTATTTGGAAAAAATTTTTTCGATTTTTTTATTATTTAAATTGTTAAATTTGGGAGAATAAATTGATATGGGAAATTTTTAAAAATATTTTTGTGTTTTAATCAGGGGGTTTCCTCATTTTGTGGTTTTCTGATAGGTTGATGAGGATAATTTTTAAAAATGCTGATTTGTGGATTTTTGTAGTCTTTTGAAGATTATGAGGATTCTTTATATTTTCAAGTAGTTTTTAGTATTTCACGGTTAGCTCTTCGAATTTTTTCCCAACCGAATTAATCCGGAAAAATCCGGCGGGTCCGGCATAAACGAGAGAAACAAACTATGGGCCGCCCAAAATGCTTGAAATTTTCATCAGAAAGCAAAAAATAAAAATAGTCAAAAGTCATTGGAAAAAGTCATTCATTTTTCAGTTAATTGTTGGCATTTTTATAATATGATCATTAGTTCTAATAAAAAATTTCTCAATTATATTAATGGAAACATAAAATACATATAACGCATATAGTGATTTGTTTTTTCCAGTTTTCTTCCTTTTTATCTTTTTAACTATTATAGTTATAAAAACTTCATCATTTGAGGCTACTCGACAAGAATGCCATAAATGCAGGGTTAAATGTAAAAAGTCAAATGCCTGATAGTTATGTGATAAAAAATAGAAAAATAACCTAAAAAAATAAATTTTGTTCACCCAACATTTTAAAGTTTTTTTTTCTTCAAAAATATATCAAAAATGTCATTTACAATAAATGATAACAAAAATAATTTTCTAATTTTGAAAGTAAACAGCTGTCAATTATTTCCATGCTTATCAGAAAGAAAATAAAATTTATTATAAATTTGTAAAAAAAGTCTTTGCCTTAAAAGATATATTTGGCGCCATTATTAAATTTACATGGAAGGAGATTGACATTATCAAGAAATTTTATTCAAGAAAAATGGGGCAAAGTTCGAAAAAAAATTTTTTATGAAATTATGGTGAGAGAAAAGACTACTTGTCCCAGCATATATAAAAGGCAATAATTACTTCCAATTCCTCACTTCTTTTTAATTTTCAAATCCTCCTTTCTTCACTATAAAAGCTTCAAAGGCTTTAAACCCAAACTAAAACAAGCTACAAATCATGAAGACACTCGTCTTCGTATTACTTCTCTCAAGCCTTTCCGGCTCTTCTTCAATACCACTCGCCGACCGATCCTCCAATGAATACTACTCGATGACCAAAAGTGCACCGTTTAAGAATTTTTTCTATCGAGAGTATAATACAGCAACTGAACAAATCAAAACGCCAAACTTCCAGGAAAACAGCGAATATGTTTATAGCTACAATGCTCAAGTAGAAAATGGAATGTTAAGTTCAGTCGATTCATCCGGAACAAAGGAAGAAAGTCAACAACAAGCAATTACTCGAATCCAATCACAAATTCGAATGTATTTTTCAAGCGAAAGGCGTGGACAACTTTGTATGACTCAATTAAAGTTTGGTCAATTTAACGATCAGAGACAAATGAAGGAAAAACAATGTTATGACCCTATGGGAATGTTTGAACCTGTTAGTTTAGAAATTGAAAATTTCGAATAAATTTTTACAATTTTAAGTTGCAAATTCCCCAAGAAACGCGTCACAAACTCGAACTTTGCTGTCAATTCGACTACGTCGATGGAATGGTTACTCGAATCCAATTCGAGAAACAAGACGTCTCTTGGTCTAAAAACATTAAAAGAGGAGTACTTAACATGCTTCAAATGAATTTACGCCATAATGAAGAGGCACAAAATGCCATGGGTGAAAATAAAAATGTGGATAGATTAGCTCAGAGCTTTACCGTTCCTGAAACAACCGTTGAAGGGGAATGCCAAACTATCTATACAATTAATAAAGAATCAAAGCAATGTCAAGAGAGTCAACAACCCTGCTCTTTCAACGTTACAAAGTCGATAAATTTCAAAAAATGTTCAAAAATTGTTGATTCAACTAACGGATTCCAAACAGAACAACCTCAGCTTAAGTGCAGTCAATGCCCTATGAATGAGGATGTAAAAGTAAATGAGGAGCATGAGGGAACAGCGGAGAATCAATGCGCAGATTGCGACCCTAGAGAGATGACTGAGCAGATGGTGAGCGAGAAACTCGTTTTAGGATATTCCTTAGGGTAGGCTTTGGATAGCTCTCTTGCTATCTTTGGATAGCTCTTAAATCTGATGTATCGCTTAGACGTCAATCCCGCCCTGTGGCTAATCAAATTTTAAAAGTCTTAAATGAATGATTACCTAATTTTGGGGACATCTAAGTTTAGTACTTAAAAATATCTTGAATTCCAATTAAAACATTCCTCTTTTAAACAGTTGGATCGTCAAACAGTCATCCGCGCAGTGCTAAAATGTGGAACAGAACAAAAACAAAATACTTGCCCAAATTGTTGCCAATTAGATAATTCAGAAATGACTTCAAACTATATTTATAAAAATACAAAAATTGAGAGTGAAGGACTTTATGGCTCTGCATTGAAGACAAAGACATGCGCAAAACTTGTTTTAGAAACAGTACAAAATATAGAAAAACCAGCCCCTCTCGCTGCTACAGCAGAATCAGATGAAGCATTGCTCTACTCGAATGAATGGGGAATGGATCTTCGACGTTTCTATATGGTAAAAAATGGGTTCTATAAGCGAAAAACAGTTTATTATCTCATTTATAGTTCGGAGACGAAGCCTTCCCAGATGTCAACAGTTTGCCATACAAAATGCCAAAAGTTGAAGAAGCCACCCAAGCACTCCGGTCTATCGTACAGAGCACAACGGATCACCATCACGGCATCAAAACTAAACATACCGTCTGAACTAGGTTCAGTTCACTATCAATCGGTTCAGCCTTGGAAATAACTATAGTTCAGTTCAGAAAACAAATATTTATTCAGAGCGTTAAAAGTTTATAATTATTTTATATTGAATTCAAAATAAGTTAAAGAGTTAAATTGCGGGGGAGTATTTATAGGGATTCTTACACAAACATAAATTGTTATTGAGAATAGCTAGGTCAAAAATTAATTATATAAAAGTGAATAACAAAATATATGATAAGGGGTTTTGGGTAAATATTTAGTCGGGAAAACTCAGTAAACCTTTTATAAAATTGGAAGGTCAAGAGTTTATCATTTATTTATTTATTTTTATATTTTGGGAAAAAGATATTTTTTTTTAATTTATTTATTTGCTTATGCGAATGCAGCATTCCTTCCCCCTTAATTAAGATGACGTCCACGTCATGCTTATTAAAGTAAACGGAGGAGATTATATTTTAATTTATTTATTTGCTACAAATCGCTTCATGTAAAAAATTTTATTTTAGAAGCCATTTAAGGTTCTATTTTAGCTTTTTTTAAATCGAGGGATTTTTTTTTAAAATTTTTTTTTTAAATTCTCCTCTTGTATTATTTTTTTTATTTTGTTTAATTTTATATTTCTCCAATTATGGGATTGGAATTTTTTGTCACTTTTCTCCGACAAGAGTTTAAAGGGGTATAGAAAAATTTTTAACTTTGATTACAGACTGAAATGTTTCAGAAAATTAAAGGTGAAATTATTTAGGGAATTTAAGTGATTATTTTAAAAGGAAATTGGGGTAGGGAAAATTTTAATTTTTTAATGTCCATTTTTAAATTAATGCTGAGCACCATTTCTTATCTTCTTTTTACCCTCTGGCATTTGTCCATTTACTTTCCGATTCCATTCCTTGTTTGCTTTTGTGCGTCCTGTCCGTTGTTTTGACGTTGGCAGGCTTATCTTTTGGTGATGGATGTAGTCTTTCTCCGATGGTCCTGCTGTCTTTGTCGATTCTCCCATGTTAAAATTAGGGGGTCTTATCACAAGTTTGTCCTCAACCCACTTTTTTCTTACTTTTTTATTTGTGGGACTGTTTTTCTGATAAGTATGTTTTGCGCTTGGGTTTGTTAAGTTTGTGTCTATTCTCAAGCCACAATTTTTTAGTGAATTATTATTTTTATTTATTTCGTGATTGTTTTTAAATTCAATATTTTCCATTAATTTTATTTTCGCCTTTTCGATATTATGATAATTTCTTATTAATGTTTTCGCGATTAATTTACCCGTTTGTAAATCCAGGAATAATGGAAGGCTTTTCAGGGTTTCTCTTCCAATAATTACATCATATTTTCCTGTTTTACTAATTTCATTTTCCAATATTACAATCTGCGTTAAAATTTCACACCCGGCTATTTGAAAAATTATTTCTCCTTGGCCAAGCGTGGGTACAATTTTATTTCCTATACCAATTATGGCGCTTAGTTCAGCAGGAAAAATCTCATTTATTTCTAATTTTTCTGCGGTTTCTTTACCAGTCAGGGATACATGTGCTCCTGAATCTAATAGGCAAATTATTTCTTTTCCATTTATTTTAGTTTTTATTCTGAACCATTCATCGCATGTATTGTCATACCCAGGTGCGATTTCTGCTACATTAATTTCTTTCTCTAGATCTTGTTTGTTTCGCAAAGTTTGCTTTAAAATAAACGTCAGTAAACATAGTATAGTACTAGCAAATAGAAAGGCGAGAAATATCCAAATTTGATTTAATATGAGTAAGCTCGCGAAGTTTGCGGAAAATATGTTCTCTTTGGGCAATTCTGTCATTTTCCAATTGTCGATTGTTTTCTCTTTAAAGGTAACGGGTGAGTATACGGGACAATTCATTTCAATTTGTGGTCCATGGCTAGCCAAAGCGGGACTTATAATAGCAATAAGTGCAAAAATTGTTAGCAAATAAGGGCTAGATATCCTTAATGGACTTGCAACTCGGCTTTCACTGAATCTCACTTTTCTTGTGGGTGACCGGCTATAATTATTTGGTGAATTTTCTCTATAATTTTCGCGATTTCTATCATTATATCTGCGGTTATCTCTATTATATTCATTTCTATAATTATTTCTGTTTTCCCAATAATTATTTTGATAATTTCTTCGCTCATAATTATTATATTGGCGAGCTTTATAGTTTTTTCTTGCTCTATTTCGGCAATCTGCTATAACGTGTCCAGGTTTATGGCAGTAATAGCATAAGCGTCTTGTCTCTCTAGACCGATTAATTGCTAGGGCTTCTACTTTTTCTGCCAAATCAACGTATTGGTTATTTTGATATTTTTGGCGTTTTTCGTTCAATAATAATTCAAAATGTTCGGCAACTTCAAATGCCTTAGAATAGTCATCAGGTCTAGCAGCTTTAACTTCGAATTGAAGATCTGGCAAAAGCCTATCTAAAAATTCATCTAGCAATCGCTGCTGTATTGTATTTTCTTCATATCCAATCATTACAGCACGTACTGCGTCATTTAAACGCTGTGCGAATTCAAAAACTCTTTCTCCAGGCGCTTGTTTTATTATAGATAGGGCTTGCCTAGCTACAGTACGAGAATGACCATTTACAAATTTTTCTTGCAGGAAATCTATAGCTTCTTGCAGTGTGGTTGGTTGTGGTACTTTAGCGTCAAGTTCGGCGCGAGCGCGACCTCCCAGGCAAACTTTTAGACGACTTAGCTTTTGTGCTTCATTAAGGGGCGTAATTATTAAATTCAGAGCATCCATAAATCGCTGGAAAAATTTTGAGAATGAACTAGTCGGGTTACCATCATAGACTCCGACCGGGGTCATTAGACCGTTTAAGAATGGGTCTCCAATCATAATTTCAACATTTTCTCCAGTAATGGGTTTCTCAGCAGCTTCCAACGCTTTTTCAGGAGGTTTAGTCTTGCGATTTAGGTCAAACGATTCATTACTTCCGTGACCGTTCCATGAAAATCCGGATCCTCGCGATTCATTTTCTAAAACCTCTACTTTTGCTTCAAGACTTTCAATTTTATCAATTAATTTACGCGCATTTTTAGTAATAATTTCTGCTATTTTCTGCTCACTTTTAGATAAATTATTCTCAACGTTTTCCATCCCTTCCTCTAGGATGTTTAGGCGTTGGATTTGTGAAATTTGTTCTTTTTCTATTTCCATATTTTTAGAGCGTAAAAAGACTAATTCATCTTTTAATTCTCTATCATCCATTTTATTTTCAATTTCCTTCATTTTTGTTTTGTTTAAATCATTATCAACTCCTAAATTAGATATTTCTTCTTTTACAATTTGTTTCAAATTTTTAAATTGATTTTCTAATTTTTCAAATTTTCCATCTATTAAAGCATTTATTTTATCAATTTCAGATGAGGACGAATTTGATGGCAAATTTTGTCCTTCAGAAATTTTCGACTCGATTTTACGGAAGTTTTTGCATACAGCCTCTTCAAAGCTGCGTAATCGAAATAATAAATTATTCCAATGACGACCTTCTTCAGGCGTAAAAAATTTATTCGCAAAATCTGATCCTGTTGTCTGTGTCTGATTTTTATCCATTTCCAAGATTCTCCAGAAAATGTTTTCAGGGGCAGGAAATCCTTTATAGAGCTTTTCCGAGAGCGGAAAATCCAGTTCTTCTCTTTCTTTTTTATTTTAAACTGAGGATTGCACCCAGCAATTTCCTCTACTTTAACCGTTGCACCAAGCAGGAGGATAGAGCACACAGCAGTCTACCTCGTTTTTTAATTAATTAATTACGTGGGGTATTTTCTTCCCACAATTTCTTTCACAACTCTCTAAAACTAGCTCTTTTCAGGATCAAAATATCCTTCAAACAAATTCTTTTTCTCTCAAGGCTTTTTACCCGGATTAAGTGGCACCAAAATGAACTAGGTTCAGTTCACTATCAATCGGTTCAGCCTTGGAAATAACTATAGTTCAGTTCAGAAAACAAATATTTATTCAGAGCGTTAAAAGTTTATAATTATTTTATATTGAATTCAAAATAAGTTAAAGAGTTAAATTGCGGGGGAGTATTTATAGGGATTCTTACACAAACATAAATTGTTATTGAGAATAGCTAGGTCAAAAATTAATTATATAAAAGTGAATAACAAAATATATGATAAGGGGTTTTGGGTAAATATTTAGTCGGGAAAACTCAGTAAACCTTTTATAAAATTGGAAGGTCAAGAGTTTATCATTTATTTATTTATTTTTATATTTTGGGAAAAAGATATTTTTTTTTAATTTATTTATTTGCTTATGCGAATGCAGCACCGTCGATCTGAGTAGATTAGTTAATAAAATGAGAATGTGTAGTTATGAAGAGCTAAAACAAATTGAACAGAATGCCAAAGACCAAGATGGAGAGAAACAACAAAAGGTAGCAATGGATGTTTTTGTAGATTCCTTGGCTACGAGTGGAACAAGAAATACTGTTAAGCTTTTGGCTGAGATTATTGAAAATGAGGTGAAGACTAGGCTATGTTTAAGGAAAATAATCCTTGATTTTCTAGGAAATTGATGAAAACAAAGCAGCATATGCCATTAACCAGTTGAAAAATCTTCCGATTCCCTCCAACTCCATTCTAAAACAAGACAAACAACTTGCTCAAAATGTAAATGTGCAAAACAAGCCTACGGTTAGACAAGCAGCTTGGCTAACTTTTGGTGCATTGGTCAATGAATTATGCCAACATAAGGGCAGAAAAGCGATGGAATCATCTCAGGATGTGTCAAAATCCGTTCAGGAGCAATGTACTGATGATAAGAAGGAAGAGTACAAAAGGGTAAATTTCTTAGAAAATTCCGTAGGGTAAAAAATGTCATTTCGTCACTCCCCAAAAAAGTGCCATTTTGCCACCTTTTGATCTAATCTACAGTATCCAGAAAGCACTCGTTTCCTTCACCTTCACTTCAGTTTAATCCACAAAAAATTTCATTTTGACATTAACTCATTTTTCATTTCCAGACATTGTTAGAGCAGTACAGCCAAGCCACAACTTTCTACGATAAATTCCTTGCACTTTCTGCTTTAGGAAATGCCGGAATTGATACTACAACACCTTACATTGACCAGATAATTAGCGACAAATCTCAACATTATCTAATTCGAGTAAAAGCTATTGACGCTCTTCGCCGTCTTTTCACAAAACAGCCACGAACTATCCAACAAATTCTTCTCCCGATATTTTTGAATAATCGAGAGGATGCTTATGTCCGTTCGAGCGCCTTGACTACTCTATTGAGAACACAACCAGAACCTTCAGTAATTGACCAAATTGTTTATTCAATGAGGCAGGAACCAAACAAACGTGTAAAGGCGAGTACTTATCAGACGTTGAAGATGTTGGCGGAATCGAGAAACCCTGTAGATCAACAAGTGTCGAAGCATGTCAAAAACGCTTTGAAATCTGTCAATATTGACAATGAAGACATGAAAAACTACAAATTATGGCAAATTCCAGCTTTCTGCTCTAAGCAACAGGAAGGAGTTTTCTTCACTATTGGTGCTAGAAAAGCTCAACGTTGGATGCCAAACTTTTCTTATCTGAAAACTGACACGTATCTAAATGAAAAATCAAATCTTGACTCGCTGACAGTTTATGTTCTACAAGCTTCTGAGGGCTATCATAGTTATGAAGAGACTCATAATTACACTGCCAGTACAAATAAGAATGACCAACACAGTGAGAACAGGTAAAATTTAGAGGGTCATTAGGATCTCTCTCATCCATTCATCTTTTAAGCAAGACACTCAAACAAATTAATCAAATGCTTCAAATCAAGACTCGAAATCCATTTAAGTATGGATATGAAGATGAACAACAGCCTTCCTCTCAAAATCCGCTGAAATATGGATATCCAACTGGACAGCAATCTCCCCATTATTTCCTTAGAAGTCAGCAAAATCCATCATCTGTTCTCTGTGTTAGAATAGGAGATGTTGACCATTCGTTCCATGCTCTAGATCAAAATTGGGACATGTCCAAAAAAATTGGGCTACAAAATTGGGCTATAATGTCCTCTCAAACTTCAATCCCAACTACTTCACCAATGTTGGAAGAAATCCTTCAGTCAATTCAAAGAGGAGAAATGCCTAAGTTCAATCGTTTAATCTCCAAATTTGGTCTCCAACAACTCCAATCTGTCCAAAATCACACATATTCTGCAATCTTTAATGAGAGAGAAGCATTAATTCCAACTTCTGTGGGGATTCCTGTCAAAATTGTCAACTCAGTTCCGATGCTCATGAATGTAGAAGCAAGTACTCAACTGCAAAATAGGCAAAGCCAGGAAGCTAAAATTCAAATTGATGCGAGAATCATGGCTGGCGTTTCACACGTTCAGAGAATTGTGAGATCAAATGTCTCATTTACCCATTATTTTATTTATTTTAGGGCTCCTGGACACCTTTCCTCATCACCGGCGTAAGCAACACCCGCTCCGTTGAAGTCAACCTTCCAATCCAGGCTGAACTAAATGCTAATACCGAAGCATCTAGGCAATCCCTCACTGTCAAAGTAAAAATGCCTAAAGAAACAACTCGACTTCTTGGCGCTCATTCGCATCAATACACCTACAGAGCTGAAATTGACCTAAATACAAATTCGCCTATGGGGAGAGAATACCGTACCATAAGGAATCCAAAACTTGACCGTCTTCAGTATCAGAAGAACAAAGTTATTGGCTCTAAAAATGTTGGTGTTCCAGTGCATGTTTATGGTTGGAAAATTAAAATTTAACTAAACTTCTTTCATTCCCAGCTCATTACCATTGGCCTTCAAATGCTGCCAACATTGTCCAAATTCTCAAAATGCTCACTTCAACAGAAAACGCAATGCATGTCACATACCAACCCGGACAAGAAACTGCACGCGAAGTTGTGTTCAATATGAATACAGAAAACTTCCAGCCTGTAAAGGCATTCCAGTCAAAAATGGGCAATTTCTTTGAGAGAAGTGCTACGTCCAATGAAGAAGGAAATGTTCGTAAAACTAAAACACTTACTATAAGATACCCCAAATAGCAAAGCCCAGTTTAGGATACGATCTATTATTGGGCTGGCCACAGGCGGGAGTAGCTACCTAAGTGGTTTTACCTTGTCTTTAGATGCTTTTCATTATAAGAGACGGTTATTTTACCCTCTGTTTAACACGTATCTCAGTATAAGATAGAGCCATTTTACCTTCTATTTAACATACACCTCACTATAAGAGACAATCATTTACCCTCTATTTAACATCCCCCCATTATAATAAACTATATTTTCAGCCACAAGAGGGTATCATGCCAGAAGATCAACAACAATACTATGCCAATCAACAACAAAAATTGCAAACATTCCTCTCAAACTACCAAAAATCCCAGAAACACCAAAAACATTACAAACACTCTATGGAACTGTCCGCTAAAACAATTGGAGCTTCCAAACAATTTAAAGCTTCAGTCCAACTACAAGCCCAATGTAACGACAAAATGCAAGTTTGTCAACTCAGACTTGGGGCAGAGAGAAGCAAAATGAATGAAGAAAGAGGCATGTGGACAATGAAAGGCCTAGTTGAAATGGTTATGCCTGGAGGGGCTGAAGAGGAGAATTCTAATGGCTATGCTTCTGATCAGTTTTTGAGCTTTGCAAATTTGAATTGGGGAGCGGATACACGTAAACAACAAGTGAATATGCGAATCGTTGGGGAACAAGCACCTGAAAGAACTTCTGGATGGTATATGTTCCAAAATCAGCAGCAAGAAGGGGCAAATCAAGAGGGAGAACAAAACGAGGAAAATCAAAATTCTGATCAAAACTCCTCTCCTTTCACCACTAAACTCCAACGCAGAACGGCATTTATTAATCTCTACAACTGTAGAATGGAATATACCAACTTGACTCCAGCAACCAGAAATGTGTTCGAAAGGGCTGTTGAATTGGTCAAGTCTAAATATTTTTGGAATTCGAAGACTGAATTAAAGAGTGAAAGTAGCTTGAATCCGGAGAATGGAAAGGTTCTCTAATTGTAAAGAAAATTTAAAAATTTTAAAAATTCCCTAGGTATACTGTACCCTCTCTATCGACTCTTTAACCCAAAACCATGCCAACATTACCCTCATGACACCAGAACAGATTGTCCATTTGCAACAGATTGAAATGCCCTTCAAGCTTCGTCCTTTTTCTCTAAGACGTCGAAATGTACAAAGCATCCAGTCTTTCGACCAGTTCTACTCACAGCAAGAAATTAAAAATCGCGCAGAGTGTTCGGTTGATGGAAGGATTGTTCGGACTTTCGGTAAATAAAAATAAATGGGGAATTCTGATCCCGCTAAATTCTGGTATTCTGATTTCATATTATATTAAAATACAAAATTCTGATTTTAAAAATTCTGATTTTATTGAGATTTTTTATTCTGATTTTCCCAAATTCTGATTTTTTCTGTTTTTATTCTGAAATTATTCCGAGTTTACCAATTTTAATTATATTTTGATCTGGTTTTCAGAATTCTGATTTCCAAAATTCTGATTTCGTAAAATTCTGATTTTTCAAAATTCTGATTTTACAAGATTCTGATTTTAAAAATTCTGATTTCGCTAAATTCTGATTTTTTTCACAGACGGAAAGAGATACAAGGCTCCACTCTCCACCAGCTGTTATTCTGTTCTCGCCAAAGATTGCGGTAGAATGATTCATATTCCCGATTTCGTAGTTATGATGATGTCTACTGGAGAAGGATCTAGTCATTTTAGTCAAAAGGCAAATTTAAAAAATTCAAAAAAATTTAAATAAATTCAAAAATAGAAACTGAAAATTCTTACACCTGGCCAAAGCGTCGAATGTCAACACGAAACAGCCGCCAGCCGTAAAATTGTGTGTAAAATCAACGGACGCTATTTGAACGAAAATAATGAGAACAACTTAGTGGAATACAACAACGCTAAAAGGAGTGATGTAACTCTTCATTTGGACAACCTTTCCGTCCGCTTCAACGGCTACAAGGCCTGGATTAAACTTTCGGGGGCTTATAGAAACACTCAATGTGGACTTTGTGGACACTACGACGATGCTACAAATGATGAAAATGAAATGATAATGGCCAACAACGAATTTAGTGAGAAAAGAGGAATTTTAGAAAATTTTTTTGAAAATTCTGGAATTTTTAGAATTTTCAAAAATTTTTTTGAAAATTCCCAGAAATTTTCAAAATTTTCAATAACCCCACAAAAATCCCAAAAAATTTTCATTTCTAGCCTCCAACCTCGCCCAGTTTCATCGTTCCTATTCTCTTCCGAACAGCCACGACAGCAACGACCTAATGTGCAATGAACAACAACTTGACAGATTTTATGAAGAAAATAAAAATAAATTTGGATATTCTGAAGCTTTGGAAATAGAGGAAGAAGAAGGCAAGGAAATGAAGGAAGGAAACAAAAATAAAAAATATAATGAATGGGAAGATGAAATGTTTGATGGAACTTTTGGTGATCAGAGTGAAAATGATGAGGCCTATTTCTCTGATAATTATCAAGGAAGTGAGCAATATATTATGAGGAGTGAGATGAATGGAAATAAAATGGAGAAGATTATAGGTTGGTGAAGTTTCGAGTTTCGTGAATTTCGAGTTTCGTGAATTCCGAGTTTCGTTTTTCGAATTGCTTCGTAGTTGAGATAAATTTTTTATTGAACAACAGAGCAGTTTGAACTTGCAAATTTTCAAGTTTCACAAATTTCGAGTTTCGCAAATTTCGAATTTAGTGAATTTCGAGTTCTGCTTCGTATTTCGGAAAACAAATTTTTACCGAATAACAAACAGTGCCATCTCGAAATCACTAATTAATTGAAAATCCACAAAATTTTCTTAATTTTTCTAGCCCCACAAGAGAAAACCAGATTGATCGAAATGGAAAACGAAATATGCTTCTCGAAACAACAGATAAAGCAATGCCCAAGTGGAAGCTATCCTTATGGTTGGTATAATAATGGAGACAACGAAAGCCTTCAAGAAAACCTTCAAGCAAATCAACAAGGAAATAAGCAAACAAACCAACAAAACTTTACATCAAAAAATGTTCCCTTCATATGCCTTCCACGTTCCGATTTCGAAACTCGACAACTTTTGCGTTTATACAAACAAAATAATAATCAAATTAATAATATTAATGATATGTACAAGCAACACAGTTTTATTGAAAAAGTGCATGAACCTAAAGAATGCAGATTTCTATTATAGAACTATAAATTAGCGATAGACTTTTGATAATTCTGAAATTTTGATAATCTGAACTTGACTAAAAAATAAAAAAGACCAAAGTAGAGCAAAAAGTTTTACCTATTTTAGACTTTTCGATCAAAACTCAAATAAGAATTTTACCTTTAGCCTTTAATCTTTTCCAAAAATAAAACAATTTTTTGGTAATTCACGTGAAATTTTGCAATTTTATTTAATTCTTTAAATAAATACAAAATTAAATTTATTTATAATTTTTTGTTTGCAATTTTTTAATTTATTTATAGTATTTGAGGGATTAAACCAAATT